ACCATCGAGGCCACCCCAGGACCCTTTAGGGTGTCCCACGGATGTCCCAAAGCCACCTCAGGTTGTCACCTCCAGGGTGTCCCATGAATGTCCCACAGCCACCCCAAGGTGTCCCAAAGCCACCCATGGGTGTCCCAGGATGTCCCACAGGTGTCCCAAAGTCACCCCAGGGTGTCACCTCCAGGGTGTCCCAAAGCCACCCCAGGATGTCCCAGGGTCCCTCCAGGACGTCCCAGAGCCACCCCAGGGTGTCCCATAAGTGTCCCACAGATGACCCAGAGCCACCTCGGGACTCTTCAGAGTGTCCCAAAGCCACCCATGGGTGTCCCATGGATGTCCCAAAGCCACCTCAGGGTGTCACCTCCAGGGTGTCTCATGAATGTCCCAAAGCCACCCCTGGGTGTCCCATAAATGTCCCAAGATGTCCCCTGGATGTCCCAAAGCCACCCCAAGGTGTCCCCTCTAGGATGTCCCAAATCCACCACAGCTTGTCTCCTTCAGGATGTCCCAAGGCCACCCAATGATGTCCCAGGATGTCCCAAAGCCACCCAAGGATATCCCATGGATGTCCCAAAGCCACCCCAGAGTTTCCCAGGAAGTCCCAAAGCCACCCAAGGATGTCCCAGAGATGTCCCAAGGCCACCCCAGAGTGTCCCAGGATGTCCCAAGATGTCCCAAAGCCACCAGGACCCTCCAGCTCCCCCCATCCCCTCCCCCATCACTCCAGGCTCCTCCATCCCCCTCCCCCATCTCCTCCCCAGGATTGTCCCAGGTTCTCCCCAGGTTGTCCCTGGAGAAGAGGAAGAATCTGTGGTGGCCACATCTCAGGGGGGTTTGGAGAAGACAATGGAGCGGTGACCAAGGGGATCCAGACGTGGTTCTGGAGTCTCCAGGGGTTGGGGGACAATGGGACACCAGAACGGTTCTTCTGGGGGGAGGGGAAGGGTGTGAATTTGTGGTGGCCACATCTCAGGGGGGTTTGTGGAGAACCATGGGGACACTCTGGAACAGATCCAGGTGCAGTTATGGAGTCTCTGGGGTGGGAGGGACCCATGGAGACCTCAAAAGTTCTTCTGGGCTGAGGGAAAGGGCGGGAATTGGTGGTGGCCACATCTCAGAGGGCTTTGTGGAGAACAATGGGGACACTCTAGAAGGGATCCAGATGCAGTTATGGAGTCTCT